GGCGGGGCGGCCCCAGCAGCGCCCGCGGCGCAGCGGCCTGGCCCGCGCCATGCCTCGCCGCGCTACGCCATGCCTCGCCGCGCTACACCATGCCTCGCTGCGAAGAGGAAGCGCCGGGCGGGCTCGTTGCCGCGGTGGGCAGAGGCGCTGGGCCGATCCTCCGCCGAGGGCGATGCCTCGGGACCGGGACTCCCCGCCGGCACTGGGGGCCCCTGGCACCGCTCCTAACTCTGACACTTTTTTTAATGCTTACAAACATTTTATTTCTACCTTTTAAAACTAGTTTCCCCCCCGCCTCCCCCATGCATTTTAATCACTGTAATTTTAAAATAAATTTGAACAACACAGAAACAAAAACAATTCCATTGCCGTAAGTTAAAACAGGGCTGGGGGTGGTGGGGCTGGGTATTTTGGACCCATGAGCTTTTTAAAGGTTCACCCTCTACCCCGACCTGAGACTAGACACATTTTTAAACTCAGGAACGTTGCAGGATTTATATAAAACCGCTATAAACCCACTTCCTGCCCAGCTCCCACTGCGATCGGGGCCTGGCTGCACAAGCAACCTGCAGTAGCTGGTTACAGCTACAACTCCCTCCCCAGAGCACGTCTCTGCCGTGAGCCAACTCCACGCACTCGGGCTCCGCTCCACTTCCCGGGATTTGGTCCCAAGAAGACAAAAATTACACTGCAGAAAATGTGACAGGCCTATTTCTGTATCCCAACTTTTGACTTTTTTTTATGACTCTACTGAATTAACTCTGCTCTCTTTGTGGGGTGAGTATTTTAAATGTTAAGATTATTTAATTCACAAAAAGTGAAGGGAAGGCGCCGGGTTCCACACGTTTAATGCCTATTACTGAAACTACAGCTACAGTAAAACAGCAGCCATACATTTACAGTGCCTAAATTGGATATGCCTCCTAAAAATCACAGTGAGGCTGTACCCTCTCTGCTACATCCCTGCTTGCATGTCTAGAGGCACCTTGCCTTCTGCTAAGCGTCGTCCTTCCCTTAAGCAAGTGCATTTGTGAAAAAGACAGGACAACCACAGCAGTCCCAAACACAGAAATACAAGCAGGGTGCTCACAGACACCCAAATAACCTAGGGAGGAAAACACTCCTCTAAGATTCACCATCAGCTGTCCAGAGACACCAACCACTCGCTGGTAGTTACGAGATGGAAACAAATCCTCATATTGCTTACGTGGTTTGTGCTATTAAAAACAAAGAATCCTTACAGTGACTTTGCTGTTTCTACGTGAAGTGCCCTTTATGCCAGCTACAGGCAGAGAATAATTTGGAGGCAAAGAACCAATCACTGTAGCCATATCGGAGGATTTGAGCCCTGCCAGGCATGTTTTCCCTTCATTCCTGCTATCCTTCCCCTGAGGAAAACAGCAAAACAAATCAACAAGCATCAATAAAATAAAAGCAGCAAAACATCCCACTGCTGGCAGCCAGCAAATGCTCCCTTTCAGGCTGCAGGGTTTCTCTGGCTACAACTGGTTCTTTCGTTAACCGTATATCCTTGAAAATAATATAATATTTACTCACTTTCAATGAATCAAAGCAGGCGATTACGCGTCCGTTTTCAACTTGGCAGCTTTTCGATGGGTGTGCAAATTTACATTCCGTGTCTGGTCGCGAGCAAGTCCCCCTTTGGAACTCCCTACACACTTCCAGCGTTAGCCATTTTGTGTCCCGAATCGGTGTGACACTAACAGCCATCTTTAGATTTTACAGGTAGTTAAAATTTCCAATAAAACGGACAAACGAGTAGCTGAACTGATAAACTGGAAATGATGAAAGCGCCACCTCCAGAATACTTTTTTTTTCCCCCGCTCCCTATTTTAAAAGTACGTGTAAAAGCAGGTGGCCGCAACCTCAAGGAAAAGATGTGCCACCGGGAGTTCACAGTGCGACACTGTTAATCGACAGAGGTTTTGTACTCAGAGAAACGCTAGGATTAACCAGCAAGGTGAACGTTAAAAAGTGTGGCCCGGGACTAGCCTCGTGCGCTCAGTAACCCATCCTGGGTGCCAACCGGAGCCCACAATGCAAGCATGAAAACGTGGCAGACCCTCTGACACGGGATTTCCAAGCCGCTTTCAGTAAAGTTGTCTGAAAGGTAATCTCTCCACGCAGCTGAATTTGCAGCGGGGTTTGGTGGTGCAATCGGTATCGATTAGTTTGGCATAGACAGATGCAGCAGTTTAGAGCAACGATCGAGACTGGATTTTTTTTTTTTTTTTTCCTCCTCCTCCTCCTCCTCTCCTCGATTTTCGGGCAGAAGATATCTGACCTTCTCAGCAAACTTTTATTTTTACAGTAAAGCAGCCTACGGCAAGGCCCGACAGCGCCTTTCTCTCGGCTTTGGGTGGCAGCGGGGGTGTCTGGCTAGAGGTGGCGGGCGGATGCGCTGTCGTCGCAGTCTAGCTGGCAGCAAGCAAGGCAAAAAGCAGCGGCTGCTCTAGAAGCGGTCCCAAGCAGCAGAGACGTCAGGAAAGGCACTTCTTAGTACCAACCTGTAGAGAGAAGAGACACGTTACAATTCAGCGGGCGGCCTTTGGGGGTGTCCCGCGGAGCCGCCGCCGCCGCCCCGCGCAGGGCACTCACGCCAGCCGCCGCCGGGCTGCGAGGAGAGGGGCCGCTTCCCCGTGCGGAGCCAGGCATGATCGGGAGCGAGCCAATCGCAGATAGCGTTGCAGCGATATTCCCGGGCAGGAAGCCAATGGCGGGGGCCGTCTTATGAAAGGTCGCGCCTGTCAGACGCTGGCTGCGCTGCCCCCGGCCCCCGGCGCGCCCGCCCCCCGGGGCTCCC